ATGGATTGATGTAACTAGATACGAACGACCTTATTCCTTGGTTCTAGAGCGTGTGATGTCTAAGGGCCATAGATTGGCGATTTTAAGTTCCTTGTTGTCTCTGAAGTTAATGTGGTAGATGTTGACTTATTTTGAAAGGAAGCGACATTGTAATAGTTAGGCTATTCTTCGATAGGATTTGGGTTAGTGTGCGTGCGTGAGTCCTGGCGAGAGCTGGGCAGACGGCCCGCCAACCCTTTGGTTCGCCTCAGGGGAAGTGGGGTCGCCACAACTGACATGTGTCCAACTCTCCAGGAGGATTCACCTGAACAAGCCAACATAGTGGAAGATTTTTCTGGACCACCTCCACGAAGGAATGATCCTTTTGCACCCACTTACAATCCAGGGTGACGAAATCATCCTAACTTTAGCTATGCTTCAAAACCCCCTGGCTTTCAACAACATTTCCAGCCACGGCCACCAGTGCAACAACCATCCACTTCCAATTCAAACATGTCTCTTGAAGATATGGTGAAGTCACTGGCCCAAAGCACGAGTCAATTACAGCAAGAGGGTCAAAGATCTCAACAGGAGTCTCACATATTTCAACAAGAGACTCGTGCTAGCATTAGGAATTTGGAAGTACAGATGTCTCAATTGGCAACTTCCATGAGCAACCTGGAAAATAGCAATAGAGGAAAGTTACCATCTCAAGTAATTCCTAATCCCAAGGAGAATGCCAGTGCAATGCAATTACGGAGTGGCAAGGAGGTACAGTCTCCTAGGCGTGCCCACGTTAAAGAAGAAGTGCCCAGGAAGGGGGAAGAGAAAGATGAGAAACAATCCTCTGAAGTCTCAAAGAAAGTTGACATTCCTCCTTTTCCTGGCAGGTTTACAAGAGCCAAAAAGGAAGAATCTGAGCAAGAGATTTTGGACACCTTCAGGAAAGTGGAGATCAATATTCCTTTATTGGATGCTATTAGGCAATTGCCTAAATATGCTAAATTTTTGAAGGGCTTATGCACTAATCGCAATAAGTTGAGTCTGGATGACAAGGTGAAGGTGGGGGAGAATGTCTCAGCGATGTTTCAAAGGAAGTTGCCCCAGAAATGCAAGGATCCAGGTATGTTTACTATACCATGCATAATTGGCAATCAAAGAATTGAAAAAAGCATGCTTGACTTAGGTGCTTCAATAAATGTCATGCCTCTCTCAATTTTTAAAGTTTTGAATTTAGGGCCACTCAAAGAAACTAGGGTAATCATTCAACTAGCTGATAGGTCGAATGTCTACCCTGAGGGCCTAGTTGAAGATGTTCTAGTAAAGGTCAATGAATTCATTTTTCCTGTGGATTTTTACATTGTTGATATGAATGATGAATACTCTACTGATTCAGCAGTGATTCTTTTGGGTAGACCCTTCATGAGTACAGCAAGGACTAAAATAGATGTACATGAAGGGACTTTATCTGTGGAATTTGATGGAGAGAAAGTCACTTTCAATATTTTTGATGCAATGAAGCATCCTGTGGATACTGAATCTGTAAATTTTGTTGGCATGACTAACACCATTGTGCAAGAGAATTTTGAACAGAATTTCATGAGGGACAAGTTGGATTTTGTCTTACAACAAGGCAAGACCAATTTGGAAGTGGACGACATGGAGGAGGAGGAAGTCAAAGAAGCTATCATGTCCTTACATTCACTACATCCGCTTCCAGGCAGGTTTGAAAATTCTTTTTTACCATTACCCACTTCTAATGAAAGAATTCTACCTTCTGTTCAACAGGCACCTAATGTGGAATTGAAGGAACTGCCCGAGCATTTGAAATATGCTTACTTGGGAGATAACAAGACTTTGCCTGTAATCATTGCCAATGATTTAACTGCGTTGCAAGAAGAGAGGCTCTTACGGGTCTTACGGGAATTTAAACCAGCAATTGGATGGACGTTAGCAGACATCAAAGGCATCAATCCATCCATTTGCATGCATCACATCCTTTTGGAGTCGGACGTAAAACCCGTGAGAGAGCATCAACGCAAGCTCAATCCTGCAATGAAGGAGGTGGTGATGAAGGAGATTCTCAAGCTCTTAGAATTAGGAATTATTTTTCCTATTTCTGACAGCCAGTGGGTGAGTCCAGTCCATGTTGTTCCCAAGAAAACTGGAATCACGTTGGTGAAAAATGAAAAGAATGAGTTAGTGCCAATGAGATTGCAAAATGGGTGGAGAATGTGCATTGACTTTAGAAGTTAAATGCCGCAACTCGGAAAGACCATTTTCCACTCCCATTTATTGATGAAATGCTTGAGAGGTTGGCAGGTAAGTGTTTCTTTTGCTTTTTAGATGGTTACTCTGGATATTATCAAATTATTGTTGCTCAAGAGGACCAACATAAAACTACTTTTACCTGCCCTTTTGGAACTTTTGCATATCGCCGTATGCCTTTTGGTTTGTGTAATGCTCCTGGAACATTTCAAAGATGCATGATGAGTATTTTCTCTGATATGATTGATAATTGCATTGAAATTTTCATGGATGATTTTACAGTATACGGTGATTCTTTTGATCAGTGCCTAGACCATTTAACAAAGGTTTTGAAAAGATGCATTGAAACAAACTTGGTTCTTAATTATGAAAAATGTCATTTCATGGTTAAGGAAGGCATAGTTTTGGGCCATGTTGTTTCATCAAGGGGTATTGAGGTAGATAAGGCTAAAATTGATTTGATCACTAGTCTACCTTACCCTACTAATGTCAAGGATATTCGTAGTTTTCTAGGCCATGCAGGTTTTTACAGGCGTTTCATAAAAGATTTTTCAAAAATTGCTCAACCATTGTCTCGCCTGCTTCAAAAGGAGGTGCCATTCAACTTTGGAATGATTGCAAATTGTCCTTTGACACACTCAAGGGTATGTTGACCACGGCACCAATCATCCAACCCCCAGACTGGAAGCTATCCTTTGAGCTCATGTGTGACGCCAGTCAGTATGCCGTAGGAGCTGTGCTTGGACAGCGGAGTGGGAAGTGTAGTCATGTGATATACTATGCGTCAAAAACATTGACACCAGCTCAATGCAACTACACCACCACGGAGAAGGAGCTTCTAGCCATTGTTTTCGCTTTTGAGAAATTTAGATCATATCTATTGGGGTCAAAAGTAACGGTTTACTCTGATCATGCAGCTTTGAAGTATCTCTTGTCAAAAAAGGAGTCAAGCCAAGACTCATTCGTTGGGTGCTCTTGCTGCAAGAATTTGACTGGGAGATCAAGGATCGGAGAGGGGTGGATAATTCAGTAGCTGACCATTTGAGTAGGTTGATAAGAGAAGAGGAAGCAGTTCCCATATCTGAGGTATTTCCTGATGAACATCTTTTCTATCTCAAAGGTAAGGAACCTTGGTATGCAGATATTGTGAACTTTTTGGTCAGTCATAAATTCCCTATTGGCATGAGTAAGAGTAAGAGAGATAAGATAGTCCATGATTCTCGATACTATATTTGGGACGAGCCATATCTGTGGAAAATAGGCTCTGATCAAATTATTCGTAGATGTGTACCTGAAAGTGAAACTCCTTCTATCCTTGCTCATTGTCATAATTATGCATGTGGTGGCCATTTTGGACCTAAGAGAACTGCTAGAAAAATCCTTGATTGTGGCTTTTATTGGGAAACATTGTTTCGTGATGCTTATGCATTTTGTAAAAGCTGTGAAAAATGTCAAAAATTTGGAAGTTTGTCTCATAGGGATGAAATGCCTCAAGTGCCTATGTTATTTTGTGAAGTGTTTGATGTTTGGGGTATGGACTTTATGGGACCTTTTCCTAGCTCTTTTGGATTTTTGTATATTCTGTTAGCAGTTGACTATGTATCGAAATGGGTAGAAGCAAAGGCTACCCGGACTAATGATTCTCAAGTTGTTGTAGGATTTCTCAAATCCCACATTTTTAGTAGGTTCGGGGTGCCGAGAGCCATCATCAGTGATCAAGGTACCCATTTCTGCAATCGCACCATTGCAGCTCTCATGAGAAAATATGGAGTGCACCATCGTGTGAGTACAACATATCACCCTCAGACCAATGGGCAAGCTGAAGTCTCCAATCGAGAGATCAAGAGCGTATTGGAGAAAACGGTTAACCCCAACCGTAAGGATTGGAGCTTGCGATTGGATGATGCTTTGTGGGCATATCGAACCGCGTATAAAACGCCCATTGGAATGTCTCCATATAGTTGGTGTTTGGTAAGATGTGTCATTTACCTGTGGCTATTGAGCATCGTGCATTCTGGGCAGTCAAGCAATGCAATTTGCATGCGGATAGAGATGGCAAAGAGAGAAAGCTCCAACTCCAGGAGTTGGAGGAAATTCGTCTTGAAGCATATGACAATGCACGTTTGTACAAAGAGCGTACCAAGCAGTTTCATGACCGCCTATTGCGTGCGAAACACTTTTTCCCAGGACAAAAGGTACTCTTGTTCAATTCACGGTTGAAATTCATGCCAGGTAAGTTAAAATCTCGTTGGATTGGACCATATGTGGTAGTCAATGTTTTTCCCAATGGTGTGGTTGAAATCCAGAGTTTAGAGACTAATAAGAGTTTTACAGTTAATGGTCATCGTTTAAAACCGTTTGTTGATGTTTCAGACATTGGCACTTTGGAAGAGGTACACTTGATAGATCCTATCTATGCCTAATTGCTCACTGTGGAGTCGTCTAGCCAAAGACGTTAAAGAAAGGCGCTTCTTGGGAGGCAACCCAAGGCCTCCAATTTTTGTTATAGTTCTCTTTCGTTTTTCGTTGATTTTGGGTTGTTTTGTTTCATTGCAAGTGTTTTTTTTGGTGTTGGGCAGGAGACTTGGATTTACAAGGCATGCCCACGCCCTATAAGTGACTCCATGAAAAGCGTAGAAATGCTTGGGCAGAAGACTCTGCCTTATAAGGCGTGGGCACGCCTTACAGCAACTCTGGTCCACTCTGGGGACACAGGCTTGGATTGAAGACTTCCGCTTCCATCTGAAGCAACGCTACACCACACTACCGTCGGAGGCTCCACGCTGCCAGTCCCTGACACCTCCTCTACCATGGTGTTTTGCTGCAGTTTTTATTCATTCAGGGAAGTTTTTTGCTCCTTTCACTTGACTTCAACTTTTCGTTCTTACATTGAGGACAATGTAGACTTTAGGTGTGGGGGGAGTAGTCTAGCTTTTCCTTCTTACTGCTTTTCCTTCTTCCTTAAAAAAAAAAAAAAAAAAAAAAACAAAACCTTTACCATGCCTTTTGGATTTTTGTGGTTAGCCTTGATAAGCAATGCTTGATTTTCAAATTTAACTATTGTTATGGTTTTAGATGATAATATGTTAAGTATGATATGGTAAAATTTTAGGATGACTCTCTGGTAAATATTTGAGATTTTGTGACTCTTGCAATTTCTTTTGGTTAACTTTTCTAGGCATTGTAAATATTTTTCTGACATTTTTGTGTGAACTGGTTCAACTATTAATCTTAGTTCTCCATGTTAAGGAAATGAAGCAGGCTTGCATGGTTTTAATTTTACTTGGGTGTTTATTTGTGAATAACATTCGGCTATACTCCACTGGTTATCATTGACTAGTAACCGGGGGTCTTCACCTAAAGTGTCGATTTTCGCGTCAAAAAGCAGCGATAACTATGAGTATGTGGTCTTTAAGCGGTTTAAGTTGAGTAACCGGGCTCCTTCATTGAAGAGATGTCGGAGTTCGCGTCAAAAGACTTGAATGGCTCAAGACTAAGCACTTCCTTCAAGGAAAAAAGGGAAAAGAAACAGAAAAAAAATGAAAATGAAAAAAAAAAAAAAAAATTGGTATACGAGCATGAAAGTATGCGAATAATTGTATTGCCTGCGGATCCATGAGTCTTTACTTCATTCCAATCCATCGGCGCATTCTTTTTCAACAGTTTGAACAAAGGCTCACAGGTAGAGGTTAACTGTGCAATGAATCGGCCAATAAAATTGATCTTTCCAAGAAAACTCTTCACATCTTTTTGACTTTTTGGAATGGGCATATCTCGAATTGCTTCTATTTTTGCAGGATCTATCTCTATACCCTTTTTACTAACAATAAAACCCAATAATTTACCAGCCGGAGCTCCAAAAGCACATTTCGCAGGGTTCAACTTCAAATTATACTTCCTCAATCTTTCAAACAGTTTCTTTAAATCAACCAAATGGTCCTCAACCTTCTTGGATTTAATTATGATATCATCCACATAAACCTCCATCTCTTTGTGAATCATGTCATGGAACAGGGTAGTCATGGTCCTCTGATAAGTGGCTCCAGCGTTTTTCAACCCGAAAGGCATCACTCTATAACAAAATGTTCCCCATGGGGTGATAAAAGAGGTTTTCTCTCTGTCTTCTTCTGCCATCAAAATTTGATGATACCCAGCAAAACAATCACCAAAAGATTCAATTTCGTGTCCAGCAGTATTGTCCAAAAGAATATGAATGTTTGGCAAAGGAAAATCGTCTTTCGGACTGGCCTTATTCAGATCTCTGTAATCAACACACACTCGCACCTCCCCAGATTTCTTAGGCACTGGCACAGGATTCGATAACCAGATGGGATAATGAGACACCATGATTATCTTAGCATTGAGCTGCTTCACAATTTGTTCCTTTATTTTGAGACTCATTTCTGGTTTGAATTTACGTGGTTTCTGTTTTACAGGTAAAAAATTTGGATTGGTTGGCAACCTGTGAACCACTATGTCCGTAGAGATCCCTGACATATCATCGTATGACCATGCGAACACATCTTGAAAAAACATTACGAATTCAATCATTTCCTCCTTTTGTTTCCTATTCAGATGAATGCTGACTTTAACTTCTTTAACCTCCGTCTTAGTGCCAATATTGATGATTTCTGTTTCTTCTAAGTTGGGTTTGGGTTTCTCTTCATACTGTTTTAAATCCCTTGAAATAGACTCAAATTCTTCCTCAGTATCGCTCTCGTTTTGAATTTCAGATTGCATGATTTCAAATTCATGAGAGATATCGAGATTGCAGCCATCGAATTCCAAAATGGTGACATCCAAAGGGTCAAAGGATTTTATTTGTGGCCATCTGAAAATAAAATAGAACATAAGTAATGAATAAATAGCAAATACCAAAGAAGTCTTTCATTTCATTAAATTCAAAATGCATCGAGACTTCACAAAAGGATAAATATACAGACATGATTGCTATTTAAAGACATATTTAACCCAAACCTTTATTTTCGTTTCAGCAATTTCCTTGAACAAAGCAAGCTATATTAACTGAAACAAGAATAAAGGTTTAAAAGATGAAAGCAATTTCTTTTAACAAAAGATCCAGACTACTGTCCTATCTGGATATGATCTAGACAAAAGACAATCCCCTTAAATTTACCGAAATTCCCTTCGAGAGGGAAGATAATCAGCAGTCCAATTCTGGATAGCTCCTTCGGTAATTGGCAAAAATTCTGCATTTTCTGATGGCTCCTCCCCACAAGTGGCCCCGACAAATAACTGAGACAGGTCCACTTCAATCTCCTCCACAGGATTCTTCGTTTCTGGCATAATTACCTCTGACGGACGAGGAAAAGTGTGATATAGCGGTGGGATATTTAAGGCAGTTTGCTTGCCCTTCTTTTCAGCTTGTCTTCGAGCTTGCATTTCCCTCCTATCCTTAGCAGTTGGATGAAATCCCAGTCCAAATGTATCTTTCTGCGTCAGGATCTCTATTGGCTCCAAAATTCCTTGTAATTCCCGCCCAAGACCTTTTCCTATTTCATATTCGCCTCGGATCATCTCCCTAGCCATCATAATACTGGCCTCTGGCAAATCTGATTGAGTCAACGATTTATCCTTGGATGCCCATCCCACAGAGACGATGTCAGCAACGTGATGAGATGAAGTTGGAGTGCTTTTTCTGTTTTCATCATTGAATTTTGCATCAACGATCATGGTGCAGTCATCCTCAGCAAATACAGTAATGAGCTGATCATTCACAATAAATCTCAACATTTGATGCAGAGAAGATGGCACTGAATTGGAAGCATGTATCCAAGGTCTTCCAAGTAAAATGTTGTAAACACTGGAGAAGTCCATGACTTGGCAAGTAACTTGGAATTGAGCAGGGCCTATCTCCAATACCAGATCTGCTTCACCCATAGATTCCCTCCTTGAACCATCAAATCCTCGAACCACAGTTGCAGATGGACGGAGTTTAATATCAAGAAATCCAAGCTTGGTGAGAGTGTTCCATGGACAGATATTCAACGCTGACCCATTATCCACTAAAACCCTCGGCAACAGCTTTCCATTGCAACGAACTGATATATACAAAGCTCTGTTATGCCCGATCCCTTCTGCAGTCAGATCATCATCGGAGAAGATAATATGATTAGCAGCAAGTACGTTCCCCACAATGTTGGAAAATTTATCCACCGGAATATCTTTAGGGACTTGAGCGTCGTTCAGAATTTTGAGCAATGCTTCTCTGTGCAGCTCAGAAGTCAGGAGAAGATTCATAAAGGAAATCTGAGCAGGCGTCCTATCCAACTGCTCCACTATTTTGTACTCGCTTCTTTTCAGCATTTTCAGAAAATCTACAGCTTCATTTTCAGACACACGAGACTTGGGTGTTGGAGATTTAACTTTGGCCCTGGATTGAACATCAATATCGGAGTTTCCCACAATTTTTCCAGATCTAGTAATAGTAGATATATCTTCCTTCAAACAATCTTTACCCCCAATTAACAGACTGGGCTCCTCGTAGTTCCATGGTACCTCTTGCAAGTTATTGACAGGCATTTGCTCTGGAAATTCGAGAATGGCAGGCTCTGATATATCCCATTCAAAAGAAGGAAGATCCAAAATAAAAGGAACCACAGAATTGTCAACCTTGGAAGGCCCTCCTTCTACCATAAACGGCTCATCTTTCTCAAACACAAAAGATTTTAATTTTTTCTCAGCACTATCCTTAGTTATGGACTCTTTAACAGACAGTAGTTTCCTCATCTCCGCATGGTCAGTCTCCATCACGCCAACTACTTCAGTTTCATCTACAATGTACTGACTGGGGTCGACAAAATCTTCATCAGCAATGATAACCCCCACAGTGCTCCCATGCTCAGGAAGAGGATTCTTACTAACATTTGGTCCCTGCTCTCCCTTTCTTCTGAGAAGGATGTCTCCAGAGTCAATCATGTCCTGAATTTTATGTTTTAAAGCCCAACAATTGCCAGTGGTATGACCTGGACTTCCAGAATGATAAGCACAGATTACATGCGGATCATAACCGGCAGGAGGACCTCTAGGATAGATTTTGGGAGGAACAGTGCCAATTTTTCCAACTGCTTTTAATTGCTCATACAACTGATCAATAGGTCGGCCCAAATTGGTGAAGGTTCGAAATTGCCTCTGAGTTTGAATTCCACTGGTTTGCAAAGGATTTTGAGAAGGGTTATTGTTTTGCAGGGTTGGTCTGGAATGGTAAATGGGACGAGAGTGATTTTGAAAAACAGGTTGTGGAGTTGGAGGTAAGGGCGAGGTATTCAAATGATTTGGCCGGGAATGATGGAATTGGGTAGTGGTGTGGTAGACTGGTTGAGGATTGGTGTAATACGGGTAAGGAAAAGAATAGGTGGGATGGTTTCTGGGTCTGAAAGACGGGCCTTGATCCCATATAAAAGCAGTATCACTTTCTTTTTTCTTGAATTGGGGCCTTTTCCCATTGTTGTTTTGATTCTGTAGAGCATCCAATTGCAACTTTAATGCAGACACATTAACAATTTTCCCTGCTTTGACAAATTCATCATACTCCTCCAATTTGTTAATGATAGCAGCAAATGGACTTCCAGTCATGCGGAAGATCTCTTCAAAATAGGGTGGATCGTGAGCCTTGATGAAAGTACGAACAATCTCCTCCTCAGTCATAGGAGGCTCCACTTTGGCAGCTAACTTTCTCCACCGTTTTGCGTAGGTCTTGTGATCTTCTGACGGCTTTCTTTTCGTAGCCTCCAGTGTGGTTCGTGTTGGTGCCAACTCACAGTTAAATTCATACTGCTTCACAAAAGCAGTTGATAGATCCAACCAGGTCTTGACTTCTCCAGACTTCAAATTTGAATACCAATCTAGAGCATCTCCCTCCAAGCTTTCCGGAAATAGACGCATAGGCAAATTCTCATCATCCACAGGTTTACCTAACTTGTTGGCAAACATCTTGAGGTGCGTCTTTGGATTTCCAGTTCCATCATACTTGCTGAATTTAGGGGTTTTGAATCCCAATGGTAGCTGAATATCCGGGAAAAGACACAATTCATCGTAATCTAACCCACCATGCCTGCTCAATCCTTGATTCTTTCTCATAAAATCATCGAATCGATCCAACCTTCTTAACAGGTCTTTATCAACGGGTGTATGTTGTTCTTCTATTGCCGCCTTCCCTTGAGATGCCGTATCCATTACAAAAGGCTCCGGAATGTGGTGGTGCGGTCCCTGAGGATTGGGAGGAATGTTCAGATTGGTTTGTGGATGAGTTTGAGGGATTTGACTACTGGTTGGGTTCACCAATACATAATTCGGATGCATATAGGAAAAGTCTGAGTTTAATCGGGCAAAGGTATTTTCAACGGGGTTAGCGAAAGGAGGAAAGAAAGGTGTTTGGGTATTGGATGTGTGGGGTGGTTGATAGTCTTGTGCAGGTGGGTGATTATCGATAGGTTCTTGGTCGTTTGGGACACCACCACCATTGTTGCTTGCGACCAACTGATCAATTACACGCTTCTGTGCGGCTATTTCAGCACTTAATTCATTGAACTTGCCAAGTACCTCACTTAACTGAGCTCCCAATGCTGTGAAGTCCGGTGATGTAACCATAGCAGATCTTTCCGAAGCTTCAGGAACTGAACTCATGTTTACAGACTGTCTCAAGGCTCTACTTCGGGACCTGGTGATGATGGGGCTTCTTTGGGTAGCAATTGTGAAAAATACCTGATAGTGGAGAAAAGAAACTGATTTAGAATTGAATTCTCTGTCAAATTGCTGTAATTTATTCAAGAAAAAGGAAAAGAAAAAAAACACGAATTAGTAAATATTTAAATAATTCGGATGCATGTCCTATGGGGGAGCCCTTTTTGTGCCAAGGGTAGGCCTAGCATGATGCAACACCTTCGAAATGGGACCCGTAATACAAACCTGTTTTGACAATAATCCAAATGAGAGCAGAAGAAAAATCATTTTCATTGATAAACTTGCCAATATTTACATCATGTCACGAAGACGATTCCGTACAAGATTGCCAAAGCTTCTGAACCTATCTAATACAGAGTCCTTTGTTTCCCTAGCATATGAAATTCTAACACATTCAGTTTGGTCATATAATTCTGCACATTTCCTTTTCAGCTCTTGACGCCTTCCTCGTTCATTTTCATACAATTGCTTGCTTTGCTCGGCCATCCCTTTGTATGCTTCGGCAGACTTACTTAACTGCAGAATTTCCTTATCCTTTGCTTCGATAATGGCTTTCAACCTTTTTACCTCCTCAGATGGCTCATCTTGAATTTCTTGCGCAGCGGATCCTCCTACCCAGTCTTCGTATTGTGAAGTCGTCAAACCCTTCTGCTTGAGCTCTGGGATGTATCTAAAACTCACGTCATCAGATAGCGTCACCCAGGCGTCAATAATCCGATCTTTCATAGGGATTTGATTTGGGCACATTCCCCAGTTAAAAATAATGGTGACTTCGCTCATGTCAAGCACGGGTGGTATTTCTTGGGTACGCCCTAATTGTCTGAGAAACCTTTTTGGGGCGTAGGCAGTAATCCCTTGAGTACCCAGTAAGAGAATGAATTCGGATGCCTGGGTGCGAAGAACGGGTTTAGTACAATCGGTCCAATCCAACACCCATCTAATATTTTGATCAGTCACGTTCTTCAAGAAATCCACAAACTCAGATGCATTGCACGGCAGACTGTCTCTATTAATCCTCTTGTGATGTGTGATTATCCAGTTGTATGCGAACATTGGTAGACTTGATGAAATAGCCGGTCGTCTCATGAAATGCTCCATTCCCCATATATGTAAGATCAAATTTGAACCACAAAAAAAACTTTTTTCCTTTCTGACAGGTAGTGCAGGCTATGAAGATGTCGGCCAAAATGGTAGGAATAATGGAACACGGCCTATCATTAATTCCAAGAAACAAGTCATACAGGATTCTAGTGAGCTTGAAGGCTATCTTTTTATCTTTCCTAGGAAAAAAGAAGGTTCCCGTCATGACTAAACCGTATACCCAGACTCTCTTTCGATTCCACGTTTCCTTGGAAGTAAACGAGAAGTCCCCTCGATGCCTCTCAAAACCATCTCTTAGCGCAAATCGATCAAATAAGAACTTCGCCTCTATATTTTGGTCTGCCCCTTGTAGTACTGATTCCTTTAACCCAGTGAAACGGCAAAATTCAACTTTATTAGATGCTAGTGGCAATACCACGGCAGTTCCTTGAATCGGCAAATTGAGAAATCCGGCGACTTCCTCAATCGTTATGGTCATCTCCCTTTTTCCAAATCTAAAAGCAGAACAAGTGGGGTCCCATAGATGCACCAAAGCTTCTACCAAATATCCATCGGACTTAATATTCTTGAAATCCCCGATGTGTCCTAATCGATCGGTTATTTGGTTAACCTCATTGGGTGAGAGTAACGTGGGCCATCTTTGTACCTCTGGCGGCACTACTAACATCTGTTGCACTCGGCGAGGGCTTTCCATCTAGAAACCAAAACCGGAGTTAAATACCTTACCTACAGGTCCCATTTCTCTGGTTAACAGGAATTTAAACGTGCAAATCCCAAAAATTGGGTTAAATACCCACGGGATTTAGGTTGGCCTGTCCCTAATGTGGGATTCCCTAAGAGGCATTCCCTTTCTAAGGCTTATGCATGATGCCATTCTTATCAAAGCAGGGAAAAATGCGATTTGAAATGAGACGTGACCTAAGGAGCCCTTTGTTTGCCAGGGTAAGCCTAAAATGGTATAACATTATGAATTTATGAACAAAATGCATCACAATTTTCAAACGTGTGATAACCTATCTACAAGGGTGGGCTTCTAAAAGAAGGTCATGCCAGACCTCTTATTTGCTAAGGGTTTGTGAATGCAATGGGGACACAAAAACCAAGAAAAGTTAGTTTAAACAGATAAATACACATAACACATTGTAGCAACGGAATCAACACAAGGAAATAAAGCAATAAAAAGAGGAAAAGGGTTGGACCCCTCCCCTCGTGAATAGTGTCCCTAATAGGGTAAGGTCGACTCTACCCTAGGCAAGCTAAAATGGATGCATGAGGTTAGGGTTCACTAATTCATCTAGACTCGATAAGTCATAGGTCCCCGAGCCTTCAGACTTAGAAACCAAGGGTCATCACTCCCAAGGTTCCTTGTCGGTGGCTCGAGCGATTCCCCAGACGTTGCTACGCACACGTCGTGTTACGGCTACCCGTCTGGGCGAATCTAAAAAGAATCCTCAACCTTCGACTAAAAACTAATAGGTCATCAACCTAAAGTTTGAAGCGGAAGATCGAGTGACCCCTCGGATCATGCTACGCACACGTCGTGATACGATCACATGTCCAAGTGGGTCGCCTAAAATCCTAGTAGGGTGGAGTGGCGTGACAAGCCACTAAAAGAAAAATAAATAAGGGATAAAAAATAAAACGTATGCACGTATGCCAGTGCTCATTTTGGAGGGGAGGGATCGATAACCAATGCGAAACTCTAGGGTAATATTCCCCACCCCCAAATGCAAAACGCGATACATATAAGTAAATAAACAAAAGTAAATAAATAAATCATTCATCACATATACGAGGAACGATAAACGAATACGAGGGTGAAATGCAAAATATCCTAAAAGAGAAAAATGCAACCTAAAACATCCAAATATGATAAATATAAGGGTTAAAAAGAGAAAAAAACGACTAAACCAAGTGCTTGGACTCTCTTAGGTCCCCAGTGGAGTCGCCAAGTTGTCGCGCCCCATTTTTCGCGATGGAAAAGAAAAAGAGTTTTATAAAAAGATGTGATTTATTAATAATAAATTAAAAAAGGACCTAGAATGGGACTTAAAAGAATGCGACAATTTGGGTCCAAAAATTCAGTCTAAAAGGGCATTTTAGAAAAAATAGGAGTCGCCACTTGGTATGGTGTTTTGGTGTACCAAGTCACCCAAAAATATTTTTTGACAAAAATAAAATAAATCAAAACCCTTTTTGACAACTCCAGGTCATTGAAAACAAGAGAAAATGGGTTCGGGAGTCACGGTTGAAGAAAGGGAAGGCAAAGGTTCAATTGACTCAAACCTAAGGCACCCTTTCAACCTAGTCTAAGCTAGTTGCGAGGTTTAGTCAAAATCTTCCTAATCTAACCCTTAATTTTATCATATTTGGATGTTTCCTACATGAATGCAAATTTAAATTTATAAAATATCGAAAGGGTCAAAATATCCATTCAAATGTTTAATTGAAACAATCGCATTAATTGCGAAAGCCAAAATATTTCCTTGAAAGGGTCACGAGTATGCAAATGATGAAAAAAAGAAAAGTAAAGAAAGTAAATTAAATTATATACATAGATATAAGTGATCAAAAAAAAAGGGAATGCAACATAAAGGGTATGGGAGGCAAGAACTCGTGACATAATTTTCTTATACAGGGATTAATGGGGTATTTGAACTAAAAAGTTATAATCACCCATTTCCCATGTTTGAAAAATAATTCTCCTAATATGCACAAGCAAATGAACTAACCTATTATACAATGTCCTAAATGAAATGCAATTCTAAATGATATGATTAACACATATAGAGGATAAGGGATAATATAATAGGGAATATCATGCAAATGAGAAAAGATCTTAAAAATGAAAATATGCATGAAAATGTAGTGAATAGCACACAAAGATGAATCTAGCGCAAGACAACCTAAAGGGTCTAGCGTTGGACTAGCCCATTTCTAATAGTCCTTACTAGCGTTGGACTAGCAAGTAAGCGAAGAGAGAAGCCACAACTAGCGTTGGACTAGTGTGGTGACGTCATGCATTAACAATTCACAGTGAAACAAATAAAACATAAATTAAAATAAATAAACACATAAGAGCACGTAGCACATAACACGTAAACATAATATCTAGATGCCAAAATCCTAAGAAAAGCGGATAAAACACATAACAAATAAGCCACATAAACACGCAACCTATCTATTACATCGGGGAGCGCCTAACTACAATCTAGAAGGGAAAAATATAATAAAACAAATCTAATTATCCTATCTATTACATTTTTGAGGTATTTAAATGCCTCTTGAATCATTGTAAAAAATTAACTAAAACATATATAAGAAAATTTAAATGAATATTTAAATCAAATAAATAAAGCATATAAAAATATAAACACATAGGAACACATAAGAGCACATAAGAGCACGTAATTGACATTGAAATAATAAAAATAGGGGTACCTCCCGTTTGAAGTGGTGACTAAATGGAGTCAAATTGTCCTATTTATACTCACAATGAACAAAAGAATCATGGCACCAATTTAATTGAAAAAAACAATAATAATAAAAGTATTAAACTCACACTAATATGTCAGACGTAAAGAAATTTAAGCAAATCTAAAAAATTCCAAGTTAAGTATATTCTAAAGTAACATAATTAGTTATTGAAGAAAAGAAACAATCATAACAAAGAGAGTCAAAATTCACCATGGACTGAATTGCAAAGATTGAAAAACCTTTGGGGACAAAAATTATATTTTTCCAAAGTTTAGGGGTCAAAATTAAATGAAAGATAAAATTCAGGGACCAAAATGCAATTATTTTAAGGACCTAGGTGAAAGGAATTTAAAATGTTCTGGGCTACAATAAAACTACTCCAAAGATCAGGGGCCAAAGTGCAAATCGTAACCAGATCTGGGCAAGATAAAGGGCATCGGGCCAATCTTTTTATTTTACTTGGGCCAAAGCTACCTAAGCCCAACTGAAAACCCAAGCTAAAACACACAGGCCAACCTGTCTTTTTATCCCTCAAGCCCAGCCAAAAAATTCATGGGCTCCAACCTCCGAACCCAACCGAAACCCAAAAGAAAAAATAAACTAAAGCCCAATCACAAGCCCACAGAACAAAAAAAATGGCCCAAACCCCTTTTTTTCTTCTTTTCTTTTCTTTCTTTCTCCTTCTCTTTCTTTTCTTTCTTTCTTCTTCCTTCGTTTCTTCTCCTCCTCTGGCCAACCGAAGCTTACTTCAGTTGGCGCCACCGCCGCCGACCGCCACCGCCGGTGACCTCTCCGGTCACCAAAAATCCTCAAAATACACCTCCCCACTCGATTTTTCGCGTAGGTTCCATTTCCGGAGTTATTTTTTACAAAAAAGGAAAGAAAAGTGGTCAAATGGCCAAAAAACAGTCACGGTTTTATTTTTTTTAACCCCTTAAACCTTCACCAAAAATCGTAGAAAATATATTACAATACTCCTTATAACCTCTACAATACAACTATAATACTAGTTAGACAAGTAAACAACAACAAAAGAATGCATTAAATCAAAACAGCCCCAAAAATAAAGAAAATATTTCAATGCCTTTAAAGGCTCAAAACTTCAAAATACTTAAATAATTCAACACTTTTTCAAACCACATACTAACTACAACTGTCTATTTCACCAGAAATAAGCACCAAATGTTCACTAATTTAATTCATTTTTCGTTTTGTCATTTTCACAAACATTTAACATGCATTCACAGGCCCATTTCTTTTTCTTAACGTTTATTCATGGCTTTACCCCAAAATTTCAACAACACCAGCAGCAACAACAAGAAAACAGCAGGAACAACCAATAATACATGAATTCAATATGATAAAAAAAACGGGAAATGGTTCAATGGAAGTGTTGATACCTCTTATGACCTTAGTAAAATTGCTGATGAAATTCCAATCTCCTCACGTCCGATTGCTTGCCTTCTTGTGTTTGATTCTGTGTGTGTATATTGGGAAAGGAGAGGGAGCCGAATGGAGCCTTTCTTTTGTGTTTTCTGAATTGAGAGGAAAGAAGGAAAGGGAGCCGAGAGATGGAATTGAGGGAGTTTTTTTTTTTTTGTTCTCTGTTGTGTCTGGGAGAGCCGAGAGAAGAGTCAGGGAGATCGTTTTTTCTTTCTTTTTCTGTCTCCCCTTAGCAAAAGAAAATGCCGAGAGTTTGTATTGGGAGCTGGAGTGTTGAGTTGGGCCAAAATGATTATTTTTTACCAGATGACAAGAAAGTTGAGTGTAGGAATGGGTTAAGTGTTTTTTTGGTAGGAAAAATGATGAAAATGTGTAAGTTTTGTAATAATTTGATTTTGATTTGATTTGATTTTTGATTTTTGATTTTTGATTTTTGATTTTTGATTTTTGATTTTTGATTTTTGATTTTTAACTTTTCCTTTTTTGTTTTTGTTTTGTTGTTTGTTTTTTTTTTCTTTTTTTTTTTAAAATAAACCTGCAAAAATGAGAAAATTACACATTAATAATAATAATAATAATAATAGATAACTTATTAAATAGATAAAAATTTAGGAAAATATTAAAAATTGACAAAAATTTGGTGTCTACAATGGTCCTGATGCCGGTCAGGCCTCCCCTCCTCCGAAGAGGAGGACTGGGCGGCCATGCAAACCCAATCTGAAACCCTAGAATTTCCTCCTAAGAGCACCTCAAAAATAACGGAGCTACCCCCTATTGTTTTTAGTCTGACATCTTTTGTTCTTTGTCATTAATGAGTCAAATCAGCAAGAATGAGATGTGATACCTTTTCTGTCCCTTGAAATTAGTATCACAAGCACATGATTCCAAAAGTTGATGTGACATGCATTTTGAGATAAAAGTAAGTTTATTTTAAATGTAAGAGACTAAATTGTATCGTTACGAGGGTAAGAGATAAATAAAGACTCATGAGAATTTACCTTATAATTTTTTTACAATTAATCAAAGATTAACATAAGTAAATGACTGAGAATAATCCATTATCCTCATGAACTAAACTTAGAAGAGATATTGGTCGAAGACAAAGAATTTTCCATCCCCTGTGATAAAATGTGACACAATCATGGATGTAACAATTTAATACTATATCTGATTAGAAATATTACATTATTTACTAGCTAGTTGAATAAGTCTTATTTGACTAATTCATCCTATATTACTTTTCTTCAAGTTGGGGTTATTACTAGTAGGGCTAAACTCTGCAACCACTCCTCCACAAGTCTTACAACTTGAATTATGATAACCACCTATTTGTGGTCCAAAATATGCCAACAAAATACGAAGTCAAAATGTAGAGGCTAAAAAAAGGTTACTGACACAATAAATATGTATGAACGTACTTCTGTATTTTCTAACCATTATTTCATTGCATGGGCAGTATTTTCTTTTCATAGGTGCAATTGTTGTTGTGTCCAGACTTAGCGATAGAGGTTTTTTACATTGTTGGAAGCAACGCCAAAAGATTGACTCATTATATTATCAAAGTCCTTACATTCACTTATTAGTTGGAGTGCATTTATTGTTGTTGCTGTTTTTCTTGTTCGATCAGTCTAACCAACAGAAACCAACAGAAAAAGTGCTAAGTCGTAAAATTGGAGTGCAAATTATGGAGACCAAGAATTAAAAGAAAGATGGTAGCATAGTGCCGTGCCTTCCACTTTACTTTGGAATAAATTATGACTCAAAAAAGTCCAGAGCTTGCAGGCCCTTCAGAGAACGATCTAGCTTTACAGTGAAATGGAGCGGAGACTGTAGAGGACTGTACAGTCAACTCGGGTGTAAGCCTCCAATGAGTCTGATTGACACTGAATTAAAACTTTGGTCCACTCTAGTGGAGTAGCTAAAACTTTGCTTTTTCTTTAAATCCACATGCCTCTCTTATTAGAGCAATGAGTCTGGTTCAAAGGCTCAAGTCAGTAACTTTAACGGCTCAACCTTAAAGTATTTATTTAAGGCAATACATGGTGAGGAAAAAATACATTTTCAAATATCAAATTTGGTAATTCTAATGAGTAAAATTACAAGGTTCTATTTTTACGCTGGAGATATTTATTATCGTAATATCTAAAAAGTTACTTGTATAAATTAGTTGCGTTCTCCATGCTCCAATACAAGGACAAGATCCAACCTGTATATATAAACAAAGTGCTAATCTCTTCTCCTATCTGCCCATATTAAAACCATTATTTTTGTTGCATGGCTAATTTCTTTTATTTTTTTGGTACAATTTTTTGGTGTATTGAAAAGCAGCTATTGAGGTTTTTACATGATTATATTTATCAAAGTCCTTATATTGCATCAATAATTTCGAGTGTATTTATTGTTGTTGCTGGTCTCTTTTTTTTTTTTTTTCAAATGACTCCTTAATTTAGTGCTATACTATCCAAATTGGAGTGCAAAGTACGAGGGAACAAATGAACTGGACAAAGATGTTGCCTTCCCGTCTATTTTATATTGGAATAGTTAATTCATTATTGTTGCCGTTTACGTGTCTTTGACAAGAAATTTCTTGCTGATTAAATCTGGCCTACGAAAAATGACTCCTTAATTTAGTGCTACACTGTCCAAATTGAAGTGCAAAAGAATAGGGAATTGGACAAACGAACTGGACAAAAATGTTGCCTTCCCCTTTGGAAGGCAAGGATTAGGACAAACCCGATCCTGGTGGAGACTACTGTACAAGTCAACTCAAATGTAAGGTTGCAAATCACTGAGTCGAGCCTGGACTTAATCGAATGAATCTAGACTTATATTTTTCGCTCAAAGTTAAATTCAAAATCAATTGAGCACCTATTGTACATCTCATGTTCTCTAATTGACCTTGTGTATATAACTATGATCTTTTTTTTGAAAATGAATTTAGTAGCAGTTGGGGATAATGATTAACGAAGGTACAAAACTATATTCACAAATAACTTTGGCCCGAGCTCTGTTAGAGCCTTTAATCAAGTTACTCAAACTCGAGTTGAGCTATGCCACTACCATTATAAGAATCATTTTAGTTGGGAAGAAAAATTCTCATGAAAAAGTGGAAAGTGCACAACCATTTCAAACAAAATTTCTACTCCTGTTAATTCAAAACCATCTCTTGATACATCAACGAGTCTAATTTAAAAACTCAAACTCAACGTGTTAGTTTCAAGAATAGTAAGTCGGTTCAGTTGACAAGAATGTGTTACTTTTTCATAAAAAATCGTATATTTAAATTTCGCTGCCATAGTTCTGAAGGCATATTTTGACTTGTGAAGATGACCAGAACCTAACCTACTAAACAAAGAAGTTCAAGACTAGAAATAATCATTTTCTTTAGGGCAATTTATGGGAAGCATATTTGTGAGTCAAACTAAAAAAATTATTTCAAGATTCGGGTGGTTCATTTTCGTCAGCGTATATTATGGATTGAATTTCAGTATAATTCTAGTGAAAAAAAAGTATGGTCAAGAGGCAGCAAAGAAAGATTGGAGTGTTTAACCGGGGCGGATGTTCTGGCCAGGTGACTTCGGTGCTGAATGAGGTGGTTATTGCTGAGTAAACTTGCTTCTTTGGGTAGCTCCTAAGCAGTATTTGATTGATTATGTTCATCTATCAACTTATCCCGTGTGATTTTGCTTCTTTCTGGTTTTCATTTATGTTTGGTTCCCCATATGGAATTGGGGTTTAGAATTGGAATTGGGGTCCCAATTCCAAATCTTCAGTTTGGACACTATCAATGCCAGAGAATTAGAATTCAATTCGAATTCTAAGGGCATCAATTCCACAAATTCAATTCTTTGGTAAGACCTAAGAATCACAATTCTAATTCCATAATTTCACCTCCTATTCGGGTTAGTAAGCGGATCCTAAGTGGATTAAATCAATAAAACGGGTCTCTATATAATCAATGAAAAAAATGAAAATGAAAGTCCTCTCTCTCTCTCTCTCTCTCTCTCTCTCTCTCTCTCTTATCACAGACCAACCATCGCTTCTTTTGCAGCTCTTTCTCCTCCACATCTTCCTTCTCCGCCTCCTCCCATACTTCCTCCTCTGTCTCCACCTGTACTTCCATCGCTGACACCTTGTCTCTCCTCTTACTCATCTTCCTCCTCTGCCTCTTCCCAACATTGAACATCTCCTCTCATTTACGCATGTTAAGAGTGAAATTATAGGGTTTCTTTCTGTAAATTTGCTCAAATCCAGTGAATCCAATAGCTATAGCTAAAGATGACTGCCAAAGATAGCCTTCTCAGCACGACATGTTGTGGGCATCCCTGTACATGGATTCCCCATTATTGGCCTTATCGATTTGAGGGTAATTTCTTGTTATTGACATACTATACCTTGTGCTCAAATATTTGTATTTTTCTGCTTTCTTTTGAAAATGGAATGGTATATTTGTGGCATTAATTTAAATATTAATCAATTCCCTAGTTGATTTCCATCGCTAGTCCAATCCTAGTCCATCTGACTTGTATTTCTTTGTAGTTTTTGCAGTGCTAGCTTGTGTTGTTTAGAGTTTGATGAACCTTTGTCATATAATTGGAGAATCTGTTTTCTAACTGTAATTGGGGCTTCAAAACTTTACTTTTGTCTATTGGACTTTCTTTAATTTTGCCCTGATTAAGTCCTTTCTATTCGTCCAGTTAGTAGTTTGGTTAATTGTTTAACTCCCATTAATTCCTTTCTGTTAGTCTAATTATTAGTTTGGTTAATTTCATATAATATCCAATAGGATTTACTTGTCTAATTATGTAATAGTAGCTTATTCTAGTTTCATTACCTTGGGTAAAAAGGGATCCAGTGTTTCATAGTTCCTAATCGTTGGTTCAACTTGTGAGGTAAGGTAAGTACACTGTTCAAAAAGAGATATTAGCCAACTGTATGGCATTTTTTGAAGGAAGGTGTAATAAACTGAGATACCTTGTATGGGTGGCAACGCTTACTAATTAAGTGCTGGATAATTGTTCCTCAAATGGTTGCTTGTCTTCAATTTATAGAGCACTTTATCTTGTTGTCTTGTTGTTTCTTTTCTTAAAGGAAAAACTTGCTATCATGTTAGGGCCTGAAAAATCTTTTATGTAT